CATTTTTTCGATTTTATAAGATACGAATGCATGTGAAAGGGAGTGAGTATAATTAAATCGAAGAGTTGATAATGTTTAATGAAGTTTCTGTATTGGTTTTACCTAAGAGAATACAGTCGTATTTAATTATCAATTTCGTAAATTAATTTGTAGAAATTGAAATTTGTATAATATCAGCAATTTAATTATAATTTTTTGCTTGTACGCAATGAAATCAATTTTGTATTTATATAACCATTGACTCGACTATTAATTAACTCCAACCGCGCGATTTACAAGCATCGTTCAAAAGAAATTTTAATGCAAAAATTGTAGTGAATCCATTGTTTAAACGCCATGAAACATTTTAAACTTTCAAAATGTAGTATAATTAATGTACATCGATTCAAACGTGTATTAACAGTCCAAAAATAGTGAAAGTTATTTATATGCCTATTTCTTCTGCATAACAATGTTCCTGAATAATTCTAGTTACAAATTAATGTTTTAAATTATCATTCTTAAGTCAGAACTTTAGACGTCTTGTTTCAGACAAAAGTATCCATAATTTGAAAAGAGATCGATTTGATTCATGGCTGAATGTTATCTGTACGCAAAAAAATATCGATGTGAACAAGTAACATCATAAATCGTCATCAAATCATTAAATTAAGAGCAACAAGTTCATGTTCAAAGTTAACTGCAAAAATTCATCATTTAATTAATTCTGAATTTAAACTCTCACCTTATAGATTAAAGAACGTTATAATTCTGAAGATTAGTTAGTTCTCTCAAGAATATTATAATTTTAGGCAAAGCCAATGAAATAATATATAAAGATATACATATTTCAAATCTTATTGTTTACGTCTTTACAACATAATTTCGTTGCACATTGAAAGTACAATGTCTCTGACATTTAAAACATTCCCATCCACGAGGACTAACTCGTACGTAACTTAATAATTCAGTACACCTCTGTATCTACACCTATGTATCTCTCATATGATCTCAAACACCAAAAAAGACCACATTTCAGTACCACCAATTAACCGATATACAAATTTCAATGTTCCAGCCACTAGATTCTTTGGTACCCACTAGTAATCCTTCCAACGCAAAAAAGAGAAGTAATTAAAACAATATACAACGGTAAAAATTTAATTTTTTATTTAAATAGGCGAACGAAAAATTGTAGACGCAGGCCCGACGGAATAGATCTCGGCACGCGATAGATTTAAGGGGATCCATTCCGAGAAATTAAATTCTGCGCGCGGCGTTGCAATCTTATTAAATTCCCGGGGAACAAACGCGCGTGGGCTTCTACGCCAGTGCAAAGTGTGGCGGAGTTGATGGCGTAACGTGTTACCTCGGCACGAGTCCCAGGGTGCCCGAAATGAGAAAGAATCGACCCCAGACAGAGGGGCGAACTGCCTGGCCATGGGGGGGGGGGTTCCGGGTAAGGTATACGCGAGCGAAGAGGTAAGGGTTCACCTTAGGGAGTGCTTTCCAAGTGGCAGTTTCTCGAAGGAAACGATGACCTGCGAGCCGACAGGTCTGGAGTGCGGTTTGCCCAGAGCCTAAGGGTTGCCTTCAAACATTGAAAACTTTAATTATTTATTTACTGGGGAAGGAGAGAAAAAAAACTGGCTTGCCACGGTCGGTACGTCACGTATATACGGAATTTAAAACGATCACGTTCATTTTAGGACGACATAAATGCGAGGAATAAAAATGTATTACAGCCATCAAGATAGTACAGTAATGTCTCGATGAGTGCGGCGTACCTGGGTCTGCTTCGGAGTATTTGTGCCAAGACGGAAAGGTTTTCAGCTCTTCATAAATTTGTTTTTTAATAGAAGTAGACCCTCTGCTTAGCTTCTGTTTACTCTGTTTTGATTGATTCCAGAGGGGGATCCCCCAGTGGTAGGAATAATTCCGTTCCTCGAGTTGCATTCATTGAGGAATCACTGTAACGTCCTTTTGATGATTAATGTGGTAAGAAATTTCGAAGTAAGGAAGTTCTTAGAGGAAAAAGTTTTCACGTTGATAAAGAAATATTTGATCCTGTAGTTATAAAGAATCGTTCAGGATTTTGAGAAAGTATCTCTGCTATTAAAGGGATAGTTTAAGGGTCACATAACTAGCCGTGTAGTGGTTTCGTTTTTCTTTGAAAGTTAATATGCTTATGTGCTTATACGTAAGTGTATGATTAAAATAAATATGTTGGGGAAACTTCTAGTGCTGTTCAAAAGTTTTCAACGCAGAGTAATAATTATAATGTATTAATATAATATACAATCACCTTAATCTTTCTTTTTGAACACCCTCTTTACCTTCACTTTCTAACGAGAATGGTTAATCCTTTATATCCTAACGGTACTTTCTAATACCACTTATATATGTATGTTATAATAAAATCATTATTCAGTATTTATTACTTCGTTGGCGTCCTCTGAGATGCTATAAAATGGTGTCAGCACAGACGCTATATTTAGCTATTCGAAGAAAAAGGTACAAAAAAGTAAAGAATACCAAATTCGAACACTTTTTAATGGAATATAAATTACGATGAAAAAATAACGATAACATAATTCAGGCGTTAAAGGGTTAAACTATCATCAGTTGGCAATTTGAGATATCAGATAGAAAATGTGTTTGTACGAAGTTATTTCATTATTTCTAAGTTCAGTTAGTCCTTAGAATTACGCACATACAAGAAGTAAGAGGGTGCATAAACGTCTATCACTGTGAACTATTATAGTTCATACACTATTTCCAATTACATTAAAATCAGTGTTGTATATTTCGAACGTTCCTCATTCAGCAGTATGCAGATTTCATGCACTTTAATTACATATATCATACCTACCGTTACGTATCATACAGCTCAATTCTAGTGTTCAAAATACGAGAAAGTAACATTTTCAGTGATACAGAACAAAATCCTCATTTCATGTTTTACGTAATAATACCATTAGTAGTAAAAAGAAACGTCTAATTAATTTCCCTTCTCGTAAATTAATATTACACAAAAATGTGAACTTGCATGGACATTCACATCAGTCACCATCGTCTGCTCCAGCCCCCCCATTAAATTAATTCAACAGACAACAGGAAAACATCGTTTCCCCGCAAGTATCTGACAACACAAACAATCCAAAAGCAAACTACACCAATGGCGGACAAATCGAAAGAAACAACGCTTGGTATATATAACCGTAGCGAGCACAAAAGGAACGGAGAGGCGCGATGGGAATAGAGGCGGCAACAGTAGTCGAAGTCGATGCTTAGCCGTACCGAAAAGAAATAGAGGCCGCGGCCAATGGTACGGAACGTTCAGGGATGTGTAGAAAATGTGCGCAGAATGTGTCGTGCCTGCCCCAAAATTCTCTGTCACGCAACTGTGTTATATGCTGCGTCGCACACAAGAAACCAGGCACATTCACACAGATGTATCCGGACACGGTGTATATATTTACACGATACATACGGGCCAGGTACCAGGCAGAGAAAGGTGTGTACGTAGACTCGCTCACCATGGGCCATTGTGCCCGGATATATCCGCTCGCAATTGGCAACGCCAGCTAGCTCGCGTGATCCCATGGGATCCGTGCACCCTTTTTCCACCTACGGTTTTCTACACACACGCACACCATCCACCAGCCCGTGCCAACATCAGATAAACCGCTTATTTTATTCATAAACCTACCACGTGAAATCAATATTGCATCACGCTGGAAGATAGAGAGGTAGGTAACGGCAGAGGGAAATCAAGGGACAGAGAGGGACGATAGGAATATGGTCGTCTCCCTGACGAGGATCAGAGAATGCGGGCGATGGACGTTTAACTCAACCCCATCAACGGTTATTCCCTCTACCCGTCTCTCTCTATCTCGCTGTTACTCGATCTGTTCGCATCCTCTGTGATATTCTCCCTTCGACCACCATAGGTCTCTTCCCCCCCTTGCCACCTCGTCATACCTAACGTGGCGGAATGTGGGATGAAATTAGTCCTTAGCCCTGGCATGACGCGATGGAACGCGATGTCCGTCCTGTGACGGGATGTCCACAGCCATACGGTGGTATTCCAGTATGTGACCAGGCGTAGAAACGCATCTTCCACGCGATATAAATGTCATAAAACGAACGGGGGAGGAAGGAGCGAGAGTGTGTGTGCTTTGACAGAATACTGTGGCGCGTCATGGGTGGTAGTGACCTTGCCCGGTCTGACGCGTGGCTATTACGCTTTTTCCTGTTGACGGCATGTCGCGTCGGACGCGTTGAAACGTTGCGTCGACGGAGAGACCGACGAGAAAGTTCTGTGCTGCGGTGTTTCATTTTATTCGCGATCGATCGGTTAGAACCGGCTCTGAGCGTTGCACTTTTGATCGTTTCCTGCGAGTTAGAGGTGGAGAAAGCAAAAGCTATTTACCACCGATAGGCAGAGATTTATATATTTGTAGTGGAACAAGTATAGTGTCCTTTTTGGGGCTATTTTAACTGGCTTGACAAGTAGTTAGAGGTACAAATCTTACATGTGTCCTTTATTACTGAAAAATGGACTACTGCCACCTATTGTTAGGAAAAGGCGCTGATAGCCTCACTGGACTTTCTAACCATATAATAAATTAATTCCTATTGTACACGCGCCAAGTTTTCACTATTGAAAAGATAGATGTCCAAATGTAGTTATAGATGTTTAAGTCCAACCAGTTAAGGTCTATTTCTGAACCATTGACATTCAACGCTCAAGGGATCTAGCATTTAACTTCTCAGAGTTATACACCGAGTTTCATCCACAAAGAATAATATTTTCTACGATATATTACGAAGGATTTAGACGAGTGTCGATTACCGACAATGAGTACCGTATTAATACTTCGGGTATATTGTGTCTACCGCGCGAACCAAAGAAATCAATGTTCCCTTGAGCGTGGGAAACAGCGAAACTCAAAGGGTATAGACCCGAATGGCCCGGAATTGTCCTGGTCTTTAACCAACGTTTCAACGGTTTCCAGGTAATACAGGGTAACACGAACACGTATTTGGAGTCCAAGCACGAGCTGGAGCCGCCTCTGTGGGCGAGCAAGATCCGTTTTCTGCCCTACAGCCATCACACGCGGACGGTTTGCATGCGGGTCGAGCTCTACGGATGTTACTGGAGCGGTAAGCTGTTTGCACTTACCAATTTTCGTACGGGACTTGCCAGACCGCTTAAAATACTCATCGGACTGTCCATTAACCCTTATGCCGTGGCCGCGCGCGCACAAATTTGCCTTTCGGAATCTTGCTTGCACAATTATCCCCTTTCTTCCTTTGATGGATCAACATCGAATTAAACGTTTAACCGAACAGACGGTTACAAATCGTGTTACACGCCTCGGTTGGCATTCTACTCGCACACAGACTCTGTAAGTACATGCCCATTGTGCGTTTAAAGCTAACTGGATCTTCTGTGAGAGACGAGACAGTAACCTGTGACTTGATCTGGGGAAATATATTCTAGCTTCTTTCGAAAGGTATTATACTGAACCTTAATTAACATACATTTTTGTGTTCAGATCAAAATGGAAAGCATCGTTTTGTTTCATAGTAAGTGAGCGATGAAACATATTGGTTAATAATTGTAAATATTTATAGTAAGCAAAAAAGGTATTTTTATTTAGTACTGTATTTTTAAAGAGACGTATACTATATAAACATTTTTGGTGATCATTTTTTAAGAAAACTTTCAAGTGTGCACGTATATTAGCGTATTTTTACGTAAAACTGTATTTATAATTCAATCTCAAACTAATATTGCTTTGTTTATTGTCACCATACACATGACGGGAACTAGATTGAAAATCTTTAAGGAAATTACTGTAATCATGTTACAGGTAAATGTGTACTGCAGTCACATTTTCAGCAAGGAACTTTAAACACGCAATTGATAGTCATCTTAGAAATTGTAGACATTGATGACTTTCAAAATTTCCCTTACCAACAGTTATCAATGTTAACAGATCATTTTTACTCGATTTTATCTTCTCTACCACCTGCGTATACTTCATACCTGTGACAATTAATCTAATCAAACTCGCATTATAATTCGTTCTTCCTGAATTCAACACAATTCTCGAGGTCACCACGTATAATTCTCCCGAAACTAGACGTTTCTTGTTAATTGAAGTCCACATTAAACTCGTTCATCCATCTCGAACGCCTACGCCAAGGGAGCCCGATCCCGTCGTCAATGTAATCACAATAATGTCTGTTGACAGGGCCCAAAGCTTTTACACGAGTTATTAAAAGGCGAGCCACCGGGCGGCGACGTTCACGCCTTAACCTTTCTTTTCTGTCCATAGATGGCGTGGTGTCCTATTCGATGCCGCAGGGCGATAAAAGGGGTAATGAATGGGAATTCTTTGACGCCATCTACGACGGCCACTGGGACGACGAGCTACGCCGTGGGCTCGGTCAGCTGACTGACGGCAAAACAGGGCCTGATAACTTCAAACTGGGATATTATGATAACGATCGGACGCAGGGATGGGTCGGCTGGCGGAACGACACCCGTGGACAGCCGGTCGAGATCAAGTTCGAGTTCGACAAGGTCAGAGAATTCTCGGCCATCCATATCTACTGCAACAACCAGTTCACCAAAGATGTCCAGGTGAGTGACGATTCCTCTGTTGATTTAATCTTAGATCATTTGGAAATGGTAGCCGTAAGACCCTTTCGTCGGAAATTTATCTCTGACATGTGGAACGTTCGAAGGTTTTGAATCACAGATCGATCAGTGATCTCATAAAGTTGCCAACGATCGAACCTAAGAGGAGAGATTGAAATTTGGAACGCGATTGGTAAAAATATCGGATTACTACTGTAATCTCCAAAATCTATCCTACAAATCGAATAGAACAAATTGATACTTTTTATACGGAGCAATTGTAGATTTTTTGTGCCATCATAGTAAGAATACCAGTTTAAAATTTATTATTATTAGCAAAATAGTCACTACCCTTTAATGTTTGTCCGACCTGTTCTGAACCTATTTTGCTCTAAATTACTTATTATTCCGCATGAGTTATAAACGCTTAGTGAGTTAATGATTCTAAATGGAATCAGACGAGTAGAAAGAGTTAATATACTCCGAGATTTTTTAATTCATAAATTCCTTCAAGACATATTCAATGGTCTTTTATCATCTTTACATCCGCATTTGCCACATATGGGTTGACACTATATTCAATTCACAATTAACAGTTAATCTTTAGCACAAGATATCGAATAAAACAAATTCAATGCAGGTTAAAGAAATAACTACCCTGATAAATCCAAGTTCAAAAACCACAATATCATTGAAAAAATGTCGCTTTGACTTTGTGGAATTTTCATGGGGGTTTGGTAGTCAATCTTTTAAAATTCAAACTTGAATACAAAAATAATAGCCATTAAAAAAGAATTTCATGTATCCACTAACGATGATACTTCATTGTTTACGTTCTATACATACTAAACAAAATTCTTAGCAGAAAAACAACCTTTAGTCATAAAGTGCTTCAAATTTTGTCGCTGTTTAAAGTTCAACCTTTTTCAGCAATAATCCGTAGTTTCACTAATGTAAAGTGGATCTCAAGGTTTTGGGTTGAAAAATTCAAGTATTCTCTCCAAAAATAAATAAAAAGAAATATGAGAAAAATAGGTCGGTTTAATATTGATATTTTTTACTTCAAAATAACAGGATACGCCATTCAAAATTATGAAACTGCCATATACATATGTATATGTTGAACATACATATAAGTTTCACAATTTTTAAATAACAATTTAAGGGTCTAGGTGTTAAACGGTTAAGGACTATTTAAATATCTTTGAAAGTATTCAGGTGAAGGTTATTTTCCGACTAAACAAAAAGAGGATATCGAATCACATCCGTGCTTTTTCATGTCTATAAAATCGTGTCGATTCTACAATAAGAAGAGTGGAATAGGATCAAGGGAAGATCAAGAAGGGGTGACTTTCACATCTAATTACCGCCGCGACGCCCCTTTTGCCCGACGTAAATACGCAAAAAGCGTGGAAGCGTTTAACCCCCCCTTCGCTATTGGCAACGTTATTCCTAGAGTCCTCGCGAGGAATGCGCAAGCGGGCGGCCCGATCAACAGGCTTACCCATCCACGGGGCTGCTCGAGGATCGTTTCACCGTCACCTTCCTCCCCCCCCTTACCACCGCCCAGGGTCGTCGCACAGACGGCACAGAGCGTAGCATCTTGCCTCTCTCGATGTAGTATCCCCCCCCAACGGTTGATTGAATATTCCACTCGACGCTTTATCAGCCAGACGCCCGATGAATATAAATACAAGCCCGAAACGGTAATTCCGGGCAGTTTCGATATCTACGAACGTGGCTTATTGGCCCGATCGGATCGTGCCATTGCATCCAAACAGGAATAATCGCGGACGGACGATCTTTGTTATTAAACCAGAAATTAACCCAGCCCGGGGATTGTTTCGGGGCACGGATTGCCAACAGGTCTGATTGGAGGTATGCGATCGCTTTTTCTTCGGGTTGTAGCGTGAAATTGGTGATGGTGATTTGAAAACAGTTGAAGCGGGGAAGAATGAGGAATGAAACAAGCAATCGATGGATTTTGTGGCGACATATTGTATTAGGTGTAGTAATAAGTAATCCATTATATTTGTAATTCTGAAACGATATATTTTCAATGGAAAATATCTTCTCGACTCTATGTTGAGAAAAAAAAGAATATAGGATGTTGGGAAATCTTAGGGGTATAAAAATGAAATAGTATAAATCCTTGACTTTCGTAGAAACAAATACAGATTTCGTCAAGAAATAATGGATTACTTATTGGTACATCTAATATCTTCACTTTTTCGATGTTAAGAAAGAATATACATACAAAGTATCATATTTGAATATTTGTTTTATTAAAATTTTTCTGTTCGAGAATTTAGAAATTCATTTTTGTGATTTTAATTCTAATTTTTGTTCAGTTATTAACTTTACTCTATTATTTTGATTTGTTTGGCTTTCTACATTAAGCTATACATTTCAATTCATCCTGAATATTTTACGAGTAGATATAATTACAGAAATGTCTTGATAAGTGTGAGCCGGCTTGCCCACGATAAGTGTGAAGTCGTCATCCCCACCACTGCGGTCAGGAGCCGTGGAATCAATCAAGCGTATAACTTTTTGCACGACGCGCCGCGGTGGCTTCCCTTTTTGAGCCGACGGCTGAATGAGGGGAACAAATGCAACGATGAAACTTTTTGTTTCTGGTTCTTTGTTAACGAAACATTTACGATCATATTCGTGAGATTTTTCTGCTTAAAATGATACGAACATGATATGAATACGATATAATTTGGACCATATTTACTTATGATTTATCAGAAGCGATAATGAACGATATAAACTATTAACACTTTCTACGTGAGTACAGTAATGTCCTGATAAGTGTGAATGCCTCGGTTCCGTGGAGTCACACTCACGGTGAGCATGGACAGTTGTCAGCACCTCATCAGTCTCTTTTGCTCGAAGCACGAGCCTCGGCAGCTTGCCTTTGTAGTGTTCCGACATAGAAAAGGACAAGCGACGTAGAGAACAGACAGAGAAAGCATCTCTTTCCACTCGAGTCGATTTCGTGAGCCCGTCTGCGACCATTCTTGACGATTGGCAGTACGAAACTTCTTTAAGTGACATTCATATATTATAAAAACAGCGTTACTGTGACTGCTAGTTCGTTATTTATCGTAACCACACATCGTTTATAAAAGAAATATTGTAAAGAAACGTTTGAAATAGTCTTAAAATGACTTTTGATTCTTGATTTTATGAAAAAATTGTTTATACAGGATACCAAAAAGATGCTGTGAGATGGTTAAACATGTTTGAACCAGATTTCGGTATCTTTTGGTGTTACTGTTTTGTTTTGAATCACAGTTGTCGAGTACTTACTAATCACCCCATATAAATCCACAAAATCTAATTCCCAAGATGACTTGCAGAAAAACTCTATGGCCAAGTCACTGGAGCGCGGATAGGAAAGTTTTCGCGCCATTCGTTACGCCGGTCATCCCATGCGTGGCGGCTGCCGGAAATGAGTTCGCAGGCTCGCATTATTCGAATAGGGGGTTGGGGAGTGCCGGGGGCATTCTTCGTCGCAGAGGCGGCCAATAATTCGATCCCTTGTATAATTTCCTTTTCGCTGCGATTCGCGACCCTTCCACGTCGTTCATGCCCTGGCTTCGATAATATAATGCAAATACCTCCATCCCACCCTCCGTTACAGCCCCTCGTATTTGATATAGATACGATACAGACACGCGGCTCGCATGCGAAATCACCCTGACAATGGAATTATATCCACCCGTGGAATAAAACTATCGTGATCGTTGTAATCAAATTTCGGATTTGTGTAATTTATCGTTTGCTCCTTTAACGATGCAAACTCTGAGCGAATTCGTTTTTTTCCCTATCGTCATTTTACTACCCTATTATCTTCTTCGACAGTATAAGTTTTTAGATTCTAGTCATTGATGGCATTTTTATTGTTTTTGGTTCAAACCGTTATGTTTTATTTTATTTTAACTTCATTTTAATTTTTAGTTTACTCCAGTTCCTTTCTTTTATCTGTATAAATGAAGATAAATTTTAAATTGCAGATCATAATTTGTACGCACAGATCTAATAGAGAAGAAATTTGATTTCATTCATTATTATTGAGATTAATTAAGTTCAAATTAAATTGAGAATTTCATCAGTTTCTGTTGAAGTTACTGCTTTACTGTGTTTCGCATATTTCCGTGTGTCATAAATGCAAAAAACGACGGTCTAAATAATAATTGAATTATCTTAACACATTGTTGACCGGTCACGAGTAAACTCGTGTCGTCATGCCCAAACGTTGCTGACCGGCCACGAATAAACTCGTGATCGATGCGCTTTTGTTTCGCGGCAGCGTCGTTGGGTCAGTACGTTCTCGGACAGCATAGAGCAGTGATGGGCAACTCAGTGTCCGCCAAACTCACTAGCGGGCAACAACGTGCAGCATGCGGGCATATGGCAGTGATGGGTGAAATGTGTGAATGAGAGAACGTATCTATGATTTTCTTCACACGTAGAGATAAAAAATTATAAAATAAAAAAAACAAAAATTGAAGTCAGAACCCACCACTTCTATGCAGTGGGCTTTGGGTCGCGCTATGTGTCTGTACACACATGTTATAATTAGAAAAATAAATTTACTATATAGTTTTATAATTTATAAATATCCCTTATAATAGTTTTATACTCCATAGTCTAAAATCTTATGCTGTTTATTTATTCATGATATTATAACCTATCTCTATGTAAGAACTGAAATTTAATTCCCAAACTAAACCACCCGCGCAAGACCGGGTACGTCAGCTAGTTTTAGATTGTAATATGCAGCCTTCATTTAGCATCATTCAAATACAATTCTCCCAATTAGATCGACTTTGCCCAATTTAAAAATTCCATGTCATTTTTCCGAATTACAGCGTGTACTACGCGCAGAACAAAGGTACAAAGTATTCGATAGTTAAAAAGATATAAAGCGTTTGCAAAATACATTAAATTACTCGTTCTACAGTTTTTAAATTTAAAAATAAAATATCGAA